ATATATATATATATATATATATATATATATATATATATATATATATATATATATATATTGTGTGTGTGTAAAATTTATTCTTAGCTTTATTTATTTATCTTTGTTTTTGCGGTTTAAAAATCTTTTAATATTTTTGACATGTTATTCGAATATACCATTTTTTTTACGTTTTGTTCGTTCACATTATATAACGTTTTTTTATGTTTTGCTCGAATAAACAAATTAAAATAGAACCTCGGATAACTATCAAATATCATATATAACTATTTAGTGTTGTTTTTCGTTTACATCATTTTTTTTTATTCGGTTTTATTGTTACTTTTTCAACAAATAATCTTAAACATTAGGATAAACAACTAGCATACAGTCATAAAAACTATCGAAATAACAACTATATTTTAATAACTATTTGTTAAAAGAATAATCTTAAATAAAAGTTACCGCTTGTTAATACTCACTAAGTATATATTGTATGGAATAGTAAAAAATTCCCCTCGTATTTATTTTAATAAAAGAAATAGGATTCAAATTAAAATATGAGGGGAATTTTTTTATTATTTCAGACAATATATACTTAATGAGTATTAACAAACGGTGGATTTTATTTAAGATTATTATTTTAACAAATAGTTGTTAAAATATAGTTGTTATTTGGATAATTGTTAAGATGATATGATAGTTGTTTGTCCTAATACTTAAGATTATTTGTTTAAAAAGTAACAATGAAACCTCTTAAAGCTGAAGAAAAAAAAAATAAAACACATAAACGAATGATATATAATTTAGATAATTAATTTAAAAATATAAAAATAATTCTATAATAAATCTATACAAATTCTATTAAAATAAAGAACAAATAAAATTGTTATATAATAATAATAACTAGGGAAAAGCGGGGGTTGGATCCGGCAAGAAAACCTGTGTAGGGTCAAAATGTGAAATTTAAGTTTCTGCAGAGACATTAATTTGGTTTACAAAGGGGCAAAAAAGGAAAATTACAGAATTTCAACGATGATAAAAGATCTAAAGACCAAACAAACCCATTCTACTCGGATAAAATATTTAAAAAACAACAAAATGCAATCATGAATATTATTAAAATGGTAAATAGACATATTCATAACTCATGTTTTGGGACAACAACTTCAAATAAGATCGAACAATAGGTTATTTATAACTGTTATGGTTCATATGGGGATGTTAGTTGACTATTCTGAATGACCTGAATGGTAACTCCCATAATTAAACCAAACACTGCTACAATTTGACTTGCATGAGCTTCTTCATTGTCCTGAATGGTAATTTCCATAATTAAACATTCAAAATTATTCATAACTATTTATTTATGTATGGAAAGTAAAAAAGTTTTAATGGGAATTACCTCCATAGAATCTGAATGCATCCGGTCTAATTTGGGTACCTGTCAGTCACAATGTTAATATAATAAACAAATAAACAAAAGTATGTTGCTATTTCTTGCATTAAACACATTTATATATCAAACCATCTAGAGTTCACTTTAATTTTCTTTCCCGTATTAATATTTGTTATGAATTCACCATTCCTGAGAACACCTTCATAGATTCTACATTGAAATAAAACCATCAGTTATTTTCACAAGAAACGTACATAAAATTAGGAGAAAAATACCTTAAATATGTCAACTATTTTTTTCTAGGGAAATTCCATTAAGTATTTCGAGTTTTTTCGTTCCTATTCTCCTTTCTCAAAAAGGGGGACGTTAAACAAAGTTAAAGGATTACTTCGTTCTTGATAGTTATTTACTTAAGTGGTGGAATGGAAGAATACTCAAACTTCACTTCTTATTTTGAGAAAAGATTAAATTAAAAGAATAACGAATATATTACACCTGCAACCCTTCAAAAGATACTGGGAATTCAGATAATTCGAATAGAAATTTTACGAATTTCTCCTATTATCTCTCCCATCAACAGTAATTTCATAAAAGTTGGCCATTTTGTGTGCCAAGAATAACCTCTCATTTGGAAGCTGTTTTAAGATCCAAATAAGGGATATGAAACTATGAAAGTGAAATCCATGTAATTCATTAGTCATTTTCAGAAAAACAAAAACACTATATGCAACAATAAAATAATAATAAAAAAAAAAAAAATTATTATTAAGGAGATTACCATAAGAATCACCACGACCAAAGTCATGGCTGATGTTAGTCTTGTTAGTCCTGAGGAGATGAAATCATTATCTGCTTTTTCAAAGTCTTGTGTTGAGATAACAAACAAACACCATTTGAGTAATGCACATAAAGAATCTAAAGAGTCAAAGAGGAATCAACACCTTTAAGAACTGTGTATAGAGTGAAAGAGTCCTCTAATCCTGCAGATGCTAAAGAATAAGGGCAACTGAAGAGAAATGTATAGAGTGAAAGAGTCCTCTAATCCTGCAGATGCTAGATTTAATTAGGAAGAAAATATCAAAAAAGACACACAAATACAAAAAAATATCCAAAAATATACATCATTAGCTTAAACCTTAGATCTGTAAGTCATTTCAACATACCAGGAAAATGGTTATGCAATTTAAAACACCGATGAGTCCCAGAAACATATACAATTAAACACACACTACAAACGGGGGATTTTAAAGACAAATCTGATTTGTCACTGTTGATGTTTGGATGCCCATCCATCATGAGCTTCAAACTGTGAAGCAGTAATCTGTTCCAACAAAGTAAATGAATTAATATTAAAAGAACAAAATTTAAATACAAAGAAGATATAAAGACCAGATTACACATAAATGTTCAATTAGATGACACACATACACATCAGCTCACACATAAATTCATATGATATCATACACATACTAATCAGATATCAGATTACATACACATACAACCATTAGTTTCAAGCTATGAAGATAAAAGAATAATGGAGCAATTGCAGGGAATATAGATAGAGGTAGAATGTAACCCGTTTTGCATCCAAAGTCATTGGTGTTTTAGGGTTACGTGGATTGTTGGAAGAAAATGCGGTGACCCCTAGTTATGCAGAAAGTTTAGAGATAAGAAAGGGTTCGTCTGTGTATAGACGAAGCAGAAGCAGGGGAGGAAACAATACATAAACCCTAATGAAGATTGAAAGACGAACCTGAAACAGCAGGGAAGGACGGAGGCGGAATTGGAAGACTGCCTTCCCGTACGCCGATCCGGATGATGAATAAGCGTGGTACAGTTTGAGGATTCCGGACTCAGAAGCTAACCCCGACTCGGTCAAGGGAAGAGAGACGGCGGTACTACTGTTGACAAAGTGGGATGTGAGTGATGAGTGGAGGTGGTACGAAAACAAAACAGAATCGTCGGGTCCGGATGGTCGGTTGATGATTGGAAAGGAGATAAAGAAAACAGAAACATCCGATGGAGATTTCAACGACGGAAGCAAAGACAGAAGAACCGAACCAAAATCAGTGGTGGTTACTCTCAAAATCGATACAGGGGAGGGAAATCAGAGCAAAAGAAGAAGCAGTCGGTATGTGGAACGGCGAGGGAGTGGCCGAAAACGAAGAAGAATATATATCTGATCAAATACTCTATTCTATATTTCCATTGGAGTCGATGTAAACATTTCAGGCGGTGAAGGGTTGGGTGGAGGAAAAAAAACAATAAATATCGAAGGTGGTTGGAAATTAGAGAAAACAGTGAACAAATGGAGAAGAAAACAATGAATCGGGGGGTGAAATCGATCGATGGACGGTTCTATGATTTCCAGGTCCCTAATGATCCTAGACAACTGAGTGATCTTCAATCTTATCATCTCGTCCTTTAACAGAAAGGATTTGATAGAAAATACGTCCCGACTCGCCGAGTCCTATGAACGAGTCGCCGAGTCCCTCTTTATCCCAACCTATATAGTCGATTTTACTTGGTCTAAATGCATCCAAACCATAGATTTGACATCCTAGGGTCCATATTATACGTAAAGCTATGAACTTGATGTCCATGCATGGGGTTTTTGGCTTAAAAGGTCACAGAAAGGGGTTTATATGTTGCATGGGTCTCCCATGGCCATAAAGTTGGCACCTTTATGCCATGGGAACCCTCAATGGTTCCAGTTCTGAAGTACAACTCCAAATACACACACCAATCCGAGTACAAAAGCTTAGAAAAAGGTAGAAAATAGCCCCAAAAGAAGATCTAAGTAATGAATAGCCAAGGTATCAGCTTTATACCTCAAATAAGCAGGAAATGTGCCAAGACTTCTGGATCTACTTGCTCTCTCTTGATCTCCGAAGCTTCCTTCTCATTTTCCAACTTCAAATATGTAATGCTCGTAGATCCGGGCTAGTCAATTTAGAGACAATAAGCATCAAAAATGAGTATTTGATGGAAGATTGTTTAGAAGGAATAATCTTAACCAAGTTGTAGAATATGTTACAAGGGTTCCGTAGATATAAAGAATGCCGAAATCCGAGTTATAACGAAGAAGTTATGGCCCGTCGAAGTTTCACGACAAAACCGGCACGGCACTAATCTGCTAAAAGAAAAAACTGAAAAAAAACAAAAAATAAAAAAATCAGCCAATCACAGCAAGGTACTGTTCACCCCGCACTTCAAAATTAGTATATATATAATAATAATAATAATAAATTGTGAAAAGAAAATGAAAAAGAAAAAGGAATGGTAAGTTATTTTTTTATATAAAACAAGGACCTAAGCTGTAATATTCATAAACCATAAGGATGCAACTTATCAATTTTTAAATCTAAAGACTAAAACTACAAATCTAACCAAAGACCATTTCTATAATTTACTCAAAAAGTAATGAAAAAATATTGATAAGATATGTGGATTTATGAGGTTCTAAGAAGCATGTTTTGTAGCATTGTTTTTT